TCTTCTGTCTCTGTTAACTCTCCATCTGTCTCCCTTGCTTGACATGCTGTATCCAAGACTGTTCCTGGTGCTTCCAGACCTCTCTCTGGCCTAACGAGGGGGACGAAGGCTTCCCTTCAGTGGGAATGTGTGTTCTGGGAAGGGATGAACTCGGGGGAGGCAGCAGAGGTGACTTCACTGAATTATTCATTTTGTGAAGGACTCAGGGAAAATTGATTATCCCCTTCTTCGGAACATCAGGAGGAGTGCATGCAATGAAATTAGAGCACCAAATGGAGATCAAATGGAAGGCAGGGCTGCTCTGTGGGTTGCCAGGCAGGGTTCACTCCTGCAGGGAGCAGTTTCTCACAGTGACTGGGCCCTGGGGAGGGCTGGACACCTTCCTGCAGCTCACGATGTTCCATGTGGGAGAGGAGGCTGATCCCAGCTCGGGTGGCAGGCTGGGAGCAGGGACAGGAGAGGATTTATCACCCTGGGCCAACCCTGCTCTGTGTGCCAGGGATGCTGTGGGTCTGTGCTCTCCCTGTGGGCTGGTGCCAGGGCCCCCTGCAGAGGGCCAAGAGCTTCCACAGGGGCTGGAGGCAGCTTGGGGGCTCTCCTGGGTTTTTCTGGGCTATGTGGAGATGTGGGGCTTTGGGTGGCCCAGTGCCACGGCTTTTCTTCCATTGTCTGTGAGCCTTTGCAGTCATTTAGGTTGGATATTGGGAAAAGGTTCTTCCCCCAGAGAGTGGTTGGCACTGACCAGGCTCCCCGGGGCAGTGGGCACAGCACCAAGGCTGCCAGAGCTCAGAGAGGGTTTGGACAGCTCTCAGGCACATGGTGGGATTCCTGGGGAGTCCTGTGCCCATCCAGGGGTTAGACTCGATCCCTGTGGGTCCCTTCCAGCTCAGGATATTCTATGATCTGTTTTCTTTGCACAAGTAGATCTGTACAGCACAGCCATGGTATGGGCAAGGACAGCTTTCCCTCTCTCATGTGTTTGTAGCATCCCAAATACCTGATCCAGAGCCAGGACAAAGTAGGCTGGAGAAATAGTGCTCAAAATACCACAAAAGACCTGCTCTGAGCAGGACTGGTCACTGTGTCAAGGCTAAGTTGGACAGGGCTCTGAGCAACCTGGGCTAGTGGAAGATGTCCCTGCCCATGGCAGAGAGTTGGAATGAGATGAGCTTTGAGGTCCTTTCCTACCCAGAGCATTCCAGGATTCTCTGATGCTGTGTGTCCTGGCAGTAGCAGCACAGGCAGGGGCTGCTGCTCTCCGGGACAGGCTCAGCAGTCTTAGGGGTCTACAAATGATATGCTGACCTGAGCCTTTCCTGGGCTTTGATATTCCCAGGAATGCTTACGCTTGTGTTGGGCTGGCTCCCTGGGTAGCCTGATGCCAGTATAAGGAGCTTAAAGCTTTGGTAAAGGGCTTTCCCTGGGCAGAAGCGACTGGCCTGGGAAGGATTTTGTATTCTAAGAGCAAATCTTTGGGCATTGTTGTGTCTTTGGGCAAAGTGCCCAGCTGTCTGAGGGGAGAAGGAGCCTGTGAGGTGAGAGATGGCAGGGAAACGCTTTGGAGTTTGTTTACGTGTTGTAAAGAGGAGAAAGGGGAATGTTCTGCAGCAGGAAGGTGCCCGGGCGGGCTCTGGGCAGCAGCGGCCGCGCTGCCCGTGGGAGCAGCAGCTGCTCGGCTGCCTCTGGCTGCTGCAGGAACAGGCAACATCCTTCCAAAACATGCAGGCAGCCAACTGCTCCCAGCCCCAACTGCTGCCAGATAGAGCTGTAATTCTGCAGCCTGTCCCCTTGTGTTCAGGGGATTGGGCTGCTCTGGCCATTGGCAGCCCAGAGCTGGTGGATGCTCTGCTGAGCTGCCCCGCTCGCCCTCGCTGCCTTGGCAGGTCCCTTTCCCAGGGTGTCCCGTCCCCAGGAAGTCCCTTCCCATGCCAGACATTTGCTTTGCAGACTTCAAACTCCTGGAACACATTTTGATGAGGTTTTTCTGATTGGCAGGTTCTGGGATCAGTTTAGGAAATTGCTTTATGTTTTTCTGGAGGGTTTTTGAGCAGTGGTTTAAGCCAAGAAGCCTTTCAGCATGTATGTGTGTGTATATGGTTTTTTAAGCAATACTGTGTTAGCATTTTCTAGCATTTTCTCTGTTTTCATCCTCCACAATAAGATTATTTCCTGGGGTTTGAAAATGCCCTGTTCCTATTGTGATTTCTTAGCCCTCAAACCCAACCTTCCAGAAGACCTTTCTTCCCAGGACTGTGTCAGGATCCCAGGGAATGGATATGTGTGATCTGGCCCTGATACTTTGGTGCAAATCTCTTCAGATGTGACACTCTGTGCTGGGGCTGGTATGAAAAACGTGTGTTCCAGCAAGTTTCATAAGGCTGTGGAGAGTTGCTGAGCTGGGGGTCTCTGCCTCTTGGATTCCATAGGGTTTGGATCCTGTGTCAGGACAGAGATGACTCCTGAGACCCCTGCAGTGGAGCTGGCTCTGAAGGATAATTTAGGGCCAGGAAACACTCTTGCATTATGCAGTAGGGAATGGGAAAGGTTAATCTTTCCTTCTTGTTGTATACAAATGACTTGGGATGTTTGTAGCTCACCAGTGGGATTTGATAACTTTATTATCCAAATAATAAGATTTACAAATTAACTGTCTAATTAGCAACCTGGGAAAGCTGCTGCTCGTGCTGGGGTTTCTAAACTGACAAAGACATGGGCTTAAACTGCTGAAGTGTGATGACAGCAGGAGGGTACAGCACTGGAAAGATCTATCAAAACTCCACACATCTGTTGGGTGGGATGCATGTCTGGGAGCTGAGACGGGTTTACTGACATGAGACCCTGTACCTGATTAGTTCTATTGGCCCTTTTGTTTTTTTTTGCATGGATGGAGCATTCACCTAAGCATGTGTGAAGTGTTCCAGTGGATCTTTCCAAGGCTTGTGGAGCTTCCTTTGAAGCACTGGATGCAAAGCCCAGCCTGGTGCCATCAGCAGAGAGCTCCAGTTTGTGCTGGATGCACAGGGAAGTGTTCTGCTCCACTGTCCTCCAGTGGATTCTCTTTACAGTCTATGTTATCCTTACAATCTATATGAGAATCCTGGATGGTTTGAGTTGGAAGGGACTTTGAAGACCATCCAGTCCCACCCCCTGCCATGGGCAGGGACACCTTCCACTAGACCAGGTTACTCCAAGCCCTGTCCAACCTGACCTTGGACACTACCAGGGATGATATTTAAGATCCTTTCCAACCTAAACCATTCCATGATAAATTCACCCTAGTAGCAGTCTTGTTTCTTTTGCTGAGCTGGAATTACCCCTGCTCTGCTGGGAAACTCCTGCTGCAGCCCAGGCTCTGGCAGCAGAGCACCCTCCCGACGGCGCCTGAGCTCCGGCGTGTCACAGTTATTGAGTTTATGCACACACTTCAGGAGAAAACCTTGCTAATATGGTTCTAATTTCTTCCTTCCTGCTTCCCAGATGCTTCTGTCTCCATATACAAATGACAGAGATGGTGAGCAACGCTTTCAAGAAAATGTTTGTTTGTTTGCCTCAGAAAAGCAAGTGAGAGGTCCTGCGAGGAGAGAGCTCTTGGCAGATGTTTTGCCTTTAAAAGCTTCTGGGTTTGGTTCTTTCACAATGAAAAATGTGGAAAGGGAAAGGAATTTACAGCTGGATGTAGCAGAGCACAAAGAGGGGATTGTGAGGTTCATGGCCCATGTCACTCACCTTTTCCTTATTCCTTAGGAAATGTCCCATAGTGCTGCAACTGAAACCTGCTCTGTTCTTGTTCATGGCTCAGTTTGGTTCCTGAGCTCTGTCTCCAAACCTCTATGCCTGCTCCTCATCCTCCAAAGGGCCCTTTATTTAGTGTAACCATGTCTCTTGGGAAAAGGATGTGGCAGGTGAGACCCCTGAGGCAGAGCAGAGAGTGGTGCCCAGGCTTCCCCTCAGAATCAGTGCTTGTTCCCTTTGCTCCATTCCTGCCTGGGCTCCCTTTGGACATGGTGGTGCCCCTGGGAGCTGAGGTCCCATCCCTAGGGATGGGGCACAGTGTGGATGTGGTGCAGAGTGTGGGTGCACCCAGGCACGAGCTGGCACTCAGGAGGACGTGACGTGGGGTGTGAGGTGGTGCCTGTTCCCCAGACCTGGGACATCCCAGCTCCTCAAAGCAGTGCTGCCACCTCCAGTTGCAGGGTGAGGTGGGCTGAGACCCTCAAAAAAGATCTGGGCCATCAGCTGAAGTTCCCTGCAGTGCCAAATGGCTCTTCAAGGTCTGTTACTGAAGGTGATGTGCTTATTTGTCACTTAGGGAAAACATTAGCTTTGAAGTACGGTGCTTTGACTGCAAAAACTACAGAAATAGTGCTGGCAGGTTCAGCTTGGCATGTGCTGGAAGGGTTTGGTAGTTTAGGGGATGGGGACTTAGCTCTGGATACTTCTGCTTGGAAGTCTGGGTAGTGGCATGTCGGGATTGATTTCCCTGTGCTGTTCCCAGAAGGGCGACTGTCGTCGACGTGCGTGAGGGGAGGAAGACTTGCGTGTCTTCTGGTCTGGCAAACGGAGGCTGGGGAGATGCTGAAGAAAAGCAGAGCTGTGGGAGGAAAATTGCCCACCTGTTCCCTCAGTACAATCTTCCATTTTTGGACACATGCACTTTTCAGCTCAGATACCCGCGAACGCCAGATTCTCCCTCTTTTTATTCCCGGCGGTGACCTCAGCGTGTGCCACGAGTGACAATGAGCTCAGAGGAACAGAAGGGTTCCCAGCCCTCCTCTGACATTTGCTCAACACTTTGTTCTACTGACTTTTACTAATAGCCTGGTCTGGTCAGTGATGTTCAATAAGGGTTGAAACTCTACCGTGGCTTAAAAAACCTGCTCAGGCTGTGGGGCCTCTGCTCGTGAATCAGATGTAGCTACATTTTATTTTGTTAACTCTCGGTTCTCCTGGTGCTGATCCTGTAACATGCTCCTCACCCAGTCCCTGTCTTCTCTTTCCAGTTTGCTGCTTCGTCGTGCACAAGCGGTGCCATGAGTTCGTTACCTTCTCCTGCCCTGGCGCCGACAAGGGCCCTGCCTCTGATGTAAGTACAGCTCTGATGCCCCGGGTGTGGGCACAGCATGGTGCTCAGGGGCTCACTGTGGTTCACAGCCCTTTGGAGAAGATGTTCCTCCTTGCTTGAGGGCACTTCTGTGCCATTACTTCACAGGCATCTCTGATTCACGGAGTAGTTTAGGTTGGATCCAGCCTCTAAGATCAAGTCCAACTGTTCCCCCAGCACTGCCAAGGCCACCACTAACCCATGTTCCCAAATGCCACATCAACACAGCTTTTAAATCCCTCCAGGGACGATGATTCCTTAGTTATGGGGACTCTCATGTTTCTGGGACTTAAAACACTTAAACCACCCAATAACTTGCTCTCAGCAGAGGAGGGAGAATGTGTGGGGATGCAGAGGGTTCCCTTTGGGGCTGACCCCACAGCCTTACCCCAGTGTCCTTTCATCTCTTACGTCAGAAAACCACCCAAATGCCTGCTATCTAAGTCCCCATCCTTATTTTCACAAGGATTTTCTTTCCCAGTGGATCTTTTGGGGTGAGTGGGAGCCGGGGCAGCAGAGCTGGGCTCTGCCAGCACTGTTCAGGTCCGTCTGGCAGGTTTTGTGCTTTGCCGTGGAAACTGGCTAATTTGGGGAACTGCTGGGAGAAAAGAGCTCAAATTGGGGAAACGACAGAGCACCACAACTCTCACCCTCAAAAATAGAAGTGGTGGGAGCAGGAGGTGTAACAGGCTGCGGAAGGTGGAGGCTAAACACATGTTGTCGGTCGCCCTCCCAAATTGGGGCTGTGTGCCATGGTGGGCAGAGATGGGGGCCTGCAGGGGTGAGGCTCCTGGGGCCATCAGCAGTGGGTGGGCTTGTCCTGGGCCCGGGTGAGGCCAAACCCTCTGCCTGAGCCGTGGCAGCCTCTGCTCACGCAGCACCCACGGCCCTTCCTGCGCCGGGACAGCACACCAGGAGTGACAGTGGCACTGCTGGCACCCACAGGACAAAAGCCCCTGAGGGCTTTGCTGTGCCGGGGACAAGGAGGGACTACCAATGGAGGTGTGGGCAGGAGCTGCTGCCTGCTTGGAGTGAGGCCAAGGGCGAGGCTTGGCTGGAACACAAGCCCTGCTCTCCCATCCCTGGGTACCCGGGCACAGCCAGGGTCCATACAGGGGGGCACTGGTGTGTGTGTGTGTGCATACCCAGTGTGCCTGCACGGTGTTTGTCCCAGAGCCCTGGCCCAGAGCAGGTCACTCGAGGGGATGGAGCTACAGGAGAGGGAAGTGATGCCCTTAGACTGCTCAACTTCCCACCTCTGCTTTTTTTTCTGGGAAGTTTCACTCCCTGCCTCTGCTGCTGCCCCTCTGCAGCAGGTGCCCACTGAAATAGGGCGAGGACAGCTGGAGAAGGCATGGAGAAATGAGGGGAGAGTGGTGGAGGGAGATCCCTTCCCTGAGAGTTGAGCCTGGCCACCCTGGCAGCACAGGGGTCTGTGTCCTCTGGGCAGTGCCAGTGCTTGGGCTGTGGGTGCCACTAGTGTGTGCTGGGCTCCCTCCAGTGAGCCCGCGGTGCTGGAGGTTTGCAGACCCTTGCTGTGACATAATGTGACACTGTGAAGTTCCCTCTGGCCATGTGGCTGCAGCTCTGACACTCACACTTTCTCTCTGTTCCCTGTCATGTAAAACACACCAAGGCAGCAGCAGCAAGACCCGCAGGTCCATCTCACACCCTGCTGACCTGCCTGGGGCTGTGGGGGGATGGCACCTCTGCAAAATATCTGCTCTGGTCAGTGCTTAGATATTTGTGTGTGCTGAGATGGAATCTTGCTGCTCAGGCTGCTCTAGGTGCTGTGTGATGGAGAAGGAGCTGGAGCCTGAGCAGAGCCCTGACTCCCACCCCAGCTGTGGGCACCCAGGGAGTGACAGCAGTGGGTGAGGGGGGCACCAGCCCCGCAGAGTGAGGGGCCCTGAGAGCAGCTGGGTGGGTGCCCAGAGCACTCTGATGCCAAGAGAGACGGAAAGGCTGAAAGCACTTAGCCTTGCTGAAGGAAGATGAGGTTTGGCAGTGGAGAGCAGGGCTGGGATCCAGCTGCCACCTCTGGAGCAGCTCTGGCAACCGGCCCTGCCCAGCACTGCCTGGGCAGCTGGAGAGCAGTGTGAGCCCACAGAATGGGCAGTGTGAGCCCAC